TAATCGAGGAGGCAATTGGTAATGCTACTTTAAACCTTGGGGAGGGGATTGTAATTTCTAAAATGTGAGGGGTGTCAATATAATTTACCCAGTGAGGGAAAAATTGGTATTTAAAAAATTAAATTGTTGGAGGGAGCAATCGGTAATGAAACTTTAAACTTCAGAGAGAGGGATGTAATTTCCAAAAGGTGAGGAGGGAACTATAATAAATATAAACCTCAAGGGGTGTCAATGTAATTTACCCTATTCTTTAATTATCAAACAATTATCTTTTTGATACATCATTGGACCCACTTTATAAATTCAGTGATGTGCCAAAAATATAATTGTTTGATAATTAAAGAATATTTAATTTTGAATCAATAATTTTCTTGACACATCACTAGGTCTAGAAAATGAACTTTTAGACCTAAATAGTAATACTTTTTAATCAATTATGTTGACATTTTGAAAAAATTTACATTTTATAGAGAATTTTTTTAGTTAACCAAACAAACGTTTTACTTTTTTTTTTGATAAAAAAATTACATAATAAATATATAAAGTATAGAGTAAGTGGAAGGGGGGGGGGAAGAGTTGAATTGAATTTGAAAAATAGTTTGAGTTTGGAGATTTTGATAAAAAAATTACATAACAAATATATAAAGTATAGAGTAAGTGGAGGGGGGGTTGAAAAAGAGTTGAATTGAATTTGGAGATGCAAGGGATTGAACCCTGTGCCTACCATTTAAGCTACTTCCCCACTTGACTTTCATTTTGTTTACATTTTAATATATGTTAAAAGCGTGTTTCCAAATCGCTATTATTTAAGCCTGAAAATGCTAATAGAAACTGTGTTTTCTTAATTAAAAGTGTGGTTTATAACTACACTTTTATGATTTTATTTATTTTGTGCGTCTGAGCCAGAAACATGCTGAAATCGTGTTTTGGAAACCCGCTTCAGCTTTTTCTGGGAATTTCAGCCAAACTAGGCTTAGTTTGGGAAATAGCTTAGTAAGTTAGCTTATTTTGGGAAAAGGCCCGGGGCTTTAGCCTAGTTGGCTAGCCCTTTGACCACCAAGTTTCTCTTAAGAGGGAGGTCTTGGGTTCCACTCCTAGGAGTGGAATAAGTGGGCAAGATTTTCTTATAAAGTGTATAGTGTGACTTTCATCTTCCCTAATGTGCTAATCTAATAACTAACCATTGAGTTTTGTTGACAATAAAAAAAAAAGAAGAAGATATACATAAAACGTCAAAAATATTCATTTTCATTGAGTTTAATCATTGAAATATCATTTTTCTTGTCGATTTTACCTAACGAAATATGCAAATGGTTCAGATTGAAAACAAATCAAAGTTCAAGGTTCGAATTGACAAAATTAAAAATTTAGAGTTTATTTTGTTACAAAAGGGTCAAACTTTGGGATTTTTCTTGTAATTTTCTCTTATTATTTTTGTAACAAGAATAATATTATAATGATATTTTAAAAAATATCATTAATCATGATAGATTTTTTGTTTTAAAATGACAAAATTAAAGTTTGTCAAATCACTTTATATTAATTTTATCAACGCCACTACATCCACACCAATATAGTGCCCCGACTCCCCCGACTGACGTGGCTACGCTTGGAGAAAACGAAATCCCAATTGCCCAATGGGTGTGTTTGTTTCATGCTCCCAAAGCGAAAACCGAAATCATTCAGCAAACAGTCTGTCTGTTTGTCTGTCTATCTCTCTCTTTCTCTTTCTCAAACAACAACCAAAACTAAACCCTTAACAAACACTTTCTCTTAGCAAACACTCTATCTCTCATCGACAATCACCGATCACCACTAACGAACCGACTACTCACTTTCTCTCTCTGTGTGAAGCTTAATTAGATAGACAAACTTCAAATTAGATTTTATGGAGCTTGAATTAAAATCAAACATTTGTTTTAATTGCTCCTTAACCAGAATTTGTTAGACTGGTCTTTTGTTGTTACTTGTTTTGCTGGTTATTTGGTTCATTGAAGCTTTACTATTTAGATTTGAAGTAATTCAAGTGTTTGCTATCAATTTGTGGTGACTTTTCAAACTTTGTTTTGTTTTCACCTTTGAAAAAGAGAAGAGAGAGAGAGAAGTAGAGTGCTTCGTTAGAGAAAGAGATAAAGTATTTATGGGAGAGAGAGAGAGACAGTGAGTGGGTGTGTGCACGCCACGACTCATCCTCGGTACCCAAAGGTTAAGTATCACAACCAATCAACTACTGAGGTTACCAAAGGTCAATTCCAAATTTAACAGATTAATAACGCAAGCGGCGACAAAATAAAAGGATACCTAAACATGCATTAGAGTTTTTATTTATTTATAAAAGGCCAGTAAGCATTAAAGGCATCTGATTTACAAATATGTGGAGTTAGACTATATTTACAAAGTGCATTGTGTCTACACCAAGTCCTGACCTTGTTACTCCCTAAAACTTAAGAGCACGGGGTTAAAAACCCCACCCTAAGTCTCGTCATCTAAAACTGTATAACAACTATAAACACATGGCAAAGTGAGAAGCACTATGGTGAGAGCATAAGGGTACAAAATTATCATAGATAATTATTTAGGTTAGACAGTGAATAATTTAGTTCGAACAAATAAATTATTTTAAATAACAAAAATATAATTCAAAATCGTATAAGTAAAATAATCATAAGTACGATATAGAACAGAACAGAGGGTCAATGGATCCATGACAAACCGAGAGTCACTAAAGTAACTAATCAGAGGGCCAATAGTTATTTAAGTCCCTTCAATGCATGGGACCTCTGTAATGGTACTTACAAAATAATTGCTTACATTATCAATTATTAAATTGTCTTAAGAAACATATTTAATAAAGAGTAAATTGATGATAAATGTAATTTAAAGAGCGTATAAAACATTAAATTCAGTGAATATCTTTTATTGTTGAGAGGTCCACTTTTTGTGAACTAATTTGGTGAGAAATCCTTTTATTGTTTTGAAATGACATTTGTTTCCAATTTTAACCCTTAATTTACTTGTAAACTTTTCGTTATGTTCAAATTTATATCTATCTATTCAAAATTTGTCTATCTGTTCAAATTTTTCAACTATTTGTTCAATTTTTTCTCTTTATCTGTTCAAATTATGTCTAAATTTTATTATCTATTCATTGTTTTTTTTTAAAATTTTTTTTTCTATCTATTGAAATACCAAGCAAACCAAATTTTATCTGTTGAAATTTTGTCTGTGCAATTTTCTATCTGTTCAAATTTCTCCACCATTTTTTTGTTCAATTTTCTATATGTTCAAATCTTTTTCACTCTCTTTCTTTCTCTAGGCAATGAGATCTATTTTTTTTATTTATCTACTCATTTACAATCTATTTCATAACAACAAAACTCCTCAAGGTCATTTGCAAAATTATTTTCTCTGTATTAAAATATGTCATCAAAGAATCATCATCACGTCTAGAATTGGAAATCACGAAACCCTAACCTAGAACTGGTTAATCTAGTGAAAAAAAGAAATTGTTATCTGTTTCATCATCATTGATCATCATTATTATCAACAACAACAGAGAGACTATCTGTTTAAATTTGGGAAGGAAAAAAAAATCTGAGGTGGAGAACACAAACATTGCTATGTTTACAAAATCAAAGCCACAATAATCAATGACCCAAACAATGAGATTTATGAAAAAATTTGTGATTTCTGAATATGTTAGAGAAAGAAATTCATGAAAGAGAGAAAGAGAGAGAGGGAAAAGCATAAACATGTACATAGTAGAAAAAGGCAAAGGTTTAGTAGTTTGGTATTCATGGCGGCATCAGATCCTCTACACGGTGGCGCACGACTACAGAGCAGTAACGGCAGACCTTCGAGGCGATAGAAAATGAGGTATATCTAACCCCACTACCTCCGTACTAGTAGTCTAATCCACTACCGTTGGCGGTGGGGAATCCAATAATGCCTCGGCACCCCCTATCATCGTCAAACCGTTGCAGGAAAACCCCCAGGGATGGTGAAGCTTCCAGCATATGGCATGCTACAGCGGTGCTATTTTTAATCAAAGGAGAGAGAGAAATATGAGGAGAGAGTAAGAGGTATAGATCTGATCAGAGAAATCTGAGAGGAGAGAGAGAGGTACAGATATGAGGAGAAAGAGTGAGAATCATAAACGTAATATAAAAAACATGAGATAAGAAGTAGAAGTAGCGGAGGGCTGTTTCGGTCATTTTGTCTAAGCTTGTCCTTTTGGACAAACAATTTTTTCGGAGCATCTATTTACACACACCACATACACTCTTTGCACATCCTTCTCACTACACACACCAAAAAAATTAATTCCTAATTATTCTACTTACTGCACACACAGTTCATTCCACATCTACCCCCCCCACACACACATACACACCCTCGACCCCAAACCCAGCTCTCCCAATGGTGCAAATACACCCATTGAAGCTGAAGTTACATCTCCCACATTACCGTGTTGAAGACATTACCCCATAGTAGAAGCTTCACGCAGCTTTCATCCCCAAAGCTGCATCCATCAAGACATCACATTGAAGCATTCCAGCACATTTTCAATCCTCATTCGTATTTAGGTGAGTTGACTTTTCAATCCTCATTCCTATTTAATTTGTAATGTAGTGTTTTGACTTTATCATTTTCAAAACGAACGAAGGCCCACGGAATGTAAACAAGTTGTTCGGAACTGGTTTTTCCGAAAGTAAGGAATTGGTTCGGAAGAAGGAATTCGAAATTAGTGATTTATTTCAACAGTAGGTTTCCGAAAAATTTTCATTATTTCGGCAGTCAACTTCTGAATATTTTAAATTCGGACAACATTCAACTTCCGAAATTAATTTTTTGTTTCGATTTTCAACTTCCGAATAGTATATATACTTTCGGTTTTCAACTTCTGAACAGTTTGTTTGTTTGTTTTTTTTTTCTCCCTTCTTTTGTATATTCTTTTTACATTTGTATAGTCATCAAACATATTAATTTTTGCAGATAATATGGATTTTGAATATCAACAACGTGTCCCATCTACTGCTTCAAATAGACGACGTCGTGAATTGGATGTTGACCATGAACGGGGACAAGGGCATGGGCGAGGACGAGGTCGAGGCCGTGGTCGAGGGCCCCTAAAGTGTCATAATCACTCTTCGAAGATCCTTGTATGGCCATGGTGGTCAGTAGACAACAACATCAGATTCAAAGCCATTATTGAGCAGTCTGGGCTGTCACAATTAGCTCGTTGCACTTATCGGTTCGTCAACAAGCTTCTAATCTCCAGTTTTGTTAAGAGATGGCAACTTGAGATGAACACATTTCACATGACAGTTGGTGAGATGACCTTGACTTTGGATGATGTTGGCACTATTCTTAGCCTTTCCATTGTAGGTAGATCAGTCAGCGTACCAGATGTGACGTATCATCATGGAGTTACACTACTAGTTTCTTGCTTGGGGATTACTAAATGTGTAGCACATGAAGTGGTTTCTACTGCTGGTGGCAATTCAGTCAGGCTTGAGTAGTTACGTAGTCAGTTTATTGGTGTCACAGATGCAGACCCGAGGAGGCTATACAGTGCGTTGCTAGAGCTTATTTGTTATTTCTGTTGGGATGTACACTCTTCAGTGACAAGAGTAGCAGCAGAGTTCTTGTTGTTTACCTTGGCTTATTGATGGATTTGGGATCCATTCATACTTACGCCTAGGGTGCTGCTGCATTAGCATTTTTATACAAACAGTTGGGGTATGCTAGCCGGTCCAGGGTTAAGCAGATGGATGGTTATATGACTCTTTTGGAGGCGTGGATTTATGAGCACTTCTGAGCATTCCGATCTCACCAGAACATGGGCTACAATGAAGATATGCCACACATGTACCATTGGACATCTAGGAGAGAGGCGGGTTCCTCCATTGATCATTTGAAATCTTTTCGAGCGGAGCTTGACAGTTTTGTAGCGACTGATGTAAGTTTACTCGTCCTGAGATAATTTTAACACTTTCCATTTATCTTACCCTTTATATACTTTAATTCAAAAACACTTTACGTTCACAGGTTATTTGGGATCCATACCACAGCTGCAGAGACCGGCATCCATGTAACCCGATTACGTTGTGCCATGGATGCTTAAAGTGCTTAGACGTGGCCGAACCCTATCATCCAGATAGAGTTCTGAGACAATTTGGCAGGGTTCAAACCATCCCAGATGCACCCCTAGCTCCCAGTCGTGGTGCTTGCCGCAACATATATGTACGATATACAGTCATGTATAGATACTTGGATAGGATCTGAGAGGCTTGGGATAACCACGTGTTATCTGAGTAGCGGAGGAGCACACTAGTTCGTCAGCCTTGGAAATGTGTACCGGGTTACATGGATTGATATAAGAATATCACGCACCTATATGTTGAGCACACTGATGAACCGCATGTCCATGACCATCAGGATTTCAGCCAACACGCCGATGTAATATATTATCCTCTTTTATGCATTTGTAACTTACTTTTTATTTTCTGACATGTTCTTTAAAATGTGATATTCTTTTCAAATGCAGCGTATTGCACATGCACTGTAGACTGCACATCGTATTATTGAGGCTGGTTATGAAGAGGGGATTCGACATCCTCATCGACTTTACCAGGCTATCGAGACTATGATGCATGTCCTTGAAGGTCTGCACATTGACGAAGCTGGACCTAGTTCTGTTGGACCTAGTTATACTGGAGGTCGTTTTTCATCTCCGACATTGACATACAGTCGTAGGTCTAGGCGTAGGCATACAGCTGATTCGTGACATACCTCATTTGTTAGTTGATGAATATTTTGTGGTGTTTTTTGTAAGATGACATTGTTGTAATGCTAACAGTGGTTAGTATTTTCTTATTAGAATGGAATGGCAACAATGGTTGATACCATTGAAAATGACATTTTATTATTAGACTGGAATGGTAACAATAGTCGTTGATTTTGTAAATGTTATTTTGTTATTAGAATGGAATGGTAACAATGGTCGTTGATTTTGTAAATGATATTTTGTTATTAGAATGGAATGGTAACAATGGTCGATAACATTCAATCCATGCCACAGAACACATCAACATCAAAAACACATCCATTAATTTCTTCCATAATTCTAACATTGTCAAATGCATACATGTGTCATGCGACATCAACAACATCAAATGTCTCTTGAGTAGCTACAGTATCATGAATAATGTCCTTGAAATGCTGAATGCGGCGCACATATGCATCATCCCAGTCGACAGCGCAAGGGTGCCGGTATTTTCGCCAATTAGTGGCTATAGGAGGAACTGGATGGCATGGCTGCAAAAAAACCTACACCAAATGTCAATTGAGTTAGTGGTCATACCTCATAGCTGCTTCTACATGCACAAATTGATAAGTTTCTGTTATACTTGGATGAAATAATTTCCGTTGACAAACCCAATGGCAATCTCACGTCTATCAAGTTGAGGTACTAGCACTATTCTAAGAGGTAAAAAGGTGAGACATTGCTGTAATGACAAGTGGTATAACACAAGATTGTAGCACGATGCAACAAAATGCCCTATGTCTGGCATAGTCATCCAATGTAAGTATCTAGGACTGTCTTCAAAGTATGACAATATGCTTGTCAATTCTTCAAACCTTTCGTAGGACCCATAAAGTGTAATTTATTCCTCTTTGTGTGTGTGCAGCTCACCCAAAAGATCACGCCTAACCTGAGCCCAATCATCTTCTCTATGACCAATTGAAGCAGCTATAGCCCTGAAACCACAATTCCCATCAACAGCTACATCCTTGACAAACTTAATGTATGGTTTCAACCCAAAAGGGAAAGCATCAACATATGCACCAGGTTTCACTGTTCTAGTAATGTACACCTTCCCTTTCGCATTCACCTTCTCCTTTCCCTTAACAGGTCGCTTCTTCTTGGTTTCCATAGTAGAAGCTAATGTAGTGATTTCAGTGTCCCTAGGTGAGAAGGAATCATGTCTAGATTGCACCAACTCAAATGCACACGGGTCACGACGGGTAGAAATATTGATCTTCTTATGATCCCGAGGACATGTTTTGGGCTTCACCTCGGGCTCAAAAAGAAAAATGCTTCCCGGACATACAATCTCTTTCAACTTCTTCAAAAGCTCTAACCGCATGGTTCTATCACTTTCATTGAACTTTTTCACAAACAAGTCTACTTCTGCATAACAAGTCACCTCTGTTTCCTCTTCTTTGTTGCATATGGAGATATGAAGTTGCCTCCACTGTGAGTGTATGGTAATAAGTGGTATAGGATGATCTTGTCTGATGTAGTTAGCAATCTTATGGGCACAAGGTAAACCATGAGTGTGGCGAAGGACGCATCCATAAGCTTCAGCATCAATACCAATGGAATTGGCTCTTGTAGACACACCATTTTTGACCGACCTTTAGACTCAGACGTCACCAGTTGAGCGCTCGGTGATGTTGTATATTGTGCTCGTTCTGAGGTTTCAGAGTCTCGGCCACGAGCCTTGCCTCCGGACTTCGGGGCTCTTTTGTGCATTGCCACGGTTTGCGAACCAGGTTCTGTTTTCTCTTCCCGAAGGGAGAGAGAGGTCTCGTAGATCATCTCTCAGTGGCCGTAGGCTACATTTCGTGGTAGTAGGCCATTTTTCCCGTTTGGAGCCCGGTTTTTGATTTTCAGAGCCGTCGGCCGTGTGCCTCGGTTCGGGAACGATTAACTACCTTTGTTTGCTCCGATTTTTAGCGCACACCTTATTTCCTCCCTTTAGAGGAACACTGTAGCCCTGGAGACCACTTTCGTGGTCATATGCCACTTCCGGTGCCTAACAGCCTGTTTTTGGGGCCCCGAACCGCGCGTTTTGGCCCCCGAACCTTCGTTTTGCATCCGTTTTGGTCCTTTTTTGGTAGAGACCCTATTTTCACTATTAGGAGGATGGTAGGATGGTGGCCGGCCACCTATTCCCCTGAAAAGCCAGTTTTCTCATTTTCTCTCTCCAAAAGCCGATTTTTCTGACAGAAAGTTGGTTTTTCCCACTTTTGAGCCACATTTTCTGGCTTTTCATACCACCATGGTGATCTACTCATTTGGGAGGCCACCAATATGGGTAGGCCGACCATTAATTCACTTTGCCCCTTTTGAACCTTGCTTAAAAGCTAGCTTTTCTCTCTCCAGGGTCACATTTTCTGGTTTTTCTCCACAGGGCTGTGTTCTACTCATCTGGGAGGCCACCTTTCTGGGTAGGCCGACCAGCAATTGTTCTTGAACCTTTTGACCCCTGGTCGGCTGACCAGGGGGAGTGGCCATCCGGCCACTTGAACTGGCCGGCCTGCTTATTGCTTTTCCTCTCTTTGAGTGTAATCCAGCTGTGCCAGTTGGAGACCATTTGGTGCATCCTCCATACACGTGTATGGAGGATCTTTGAAGCTTCCAAGAGAAGCTTTGGCCTCTCTTCTTTATAAGAGAGGCTTTCCTCTTCATCTATGAGGTTTAGACACTTTTGCTTAAGGCTCATCACCTCCCACCTCCATTGCTACTATTCCAAGCCCCAAAACCCTAACTTCCTTGGTCCATTAACACTGCAACCCATAGCACCACACCACCATCATCCATTCCAGCCCCTTGGAAGTCATTTGCAGAGGTTGGAAGCTCATTTCCTTGGACCAAAGGCTGCTAGAAAGTTGGGCTACAAGGGTAAGCTCCTATTCTCCCCATTTTGGCACTATTTTGTTCTATACCTTAGCCCATTTTTCTTAAATTTTTGGGCTTCATCCTGAACTAAAAAAAGTCTTATTTTGAGCTCATCTTCATATTTGATTAAAGACTTTTCTCTGTTTGACGTCTTCTACTCCCCCTTTGTGCTTTATCCCTCTTTTGGGGCTTATTTTGTATGATATATTAGCCCTATTTTTGAGCATTTATAGGCTTCGATCCAAACTAGAAAGTGTCATATTTTGAGCCCCTCTTCAACTTTGTTGAATGGATCTTTACTATTTGAGGCCATCTACTGCCCCTTTCCCTTTATCTCTCTTTTAGGGCTATTTTTGCATCATATTTTAGCCTTACTTGTGAGCATATTAGAGATTTGCCATAAACTGTAAAGTATCTTGTTTTGAGCCCCTCTTCAACTATGTTGAAGGGCTCTTTGCTGTTTGAGGCCTTTTTCTGCCCTGTTTGTTCAATCTCTCTTTTAGGGCTGTTTTTGCATGATACATTAGCCTTATTTGTGAGCCATTTTAGACCTCGACCTAAACTAAAAGAAATATTGTTTTGATATCATATTTATGTTTGATTAAGATCTATTCTCTGTTTGGGGTCATCTTCCCCTATGCATGCTTCATTCCTTCATGATTAAGGCTATGCATTAGAGCACTTGCATTGGCCATGGTTTGGCCTCTTAGCCACTGAAATCCAATGGATTTTCAGTGGCTTTGACGCATTTTTGAGGGCCAAAATTAGAGGGGGGTGACCCCCTCTCTCCTTGTCTTGTTTGGGGATCTTTTAGGCCTTCCAAAGGGACCC